CTTCCATGGAGCCACACACACACAGTGCTGTGCAAACAGCTCGTGCCTTCTACATCCCCTTCTCTCGCTGGTCGAGGTAGAGTTTGTCCCCTAACTTCAGTTAGAACAGTTTTAATTACCTAGTGTTGTTATAAACCATGCTTGTGCCTTTAAAAACCCTTTCTCTCGCTGGTATAGGTAGAGTTTGCTCCCTAATTTCAGTTAGAACAGTTTTAACTTCTAAGTGTTATCACAACCATGCTTGCGCCCTTTACATCCCTTTCTCACTGCTCTAGGTGGAATTTGCTTCCTAACTCCTGTTAGAACACTTGTTGTTATGAACCATGCTTGTGCCTTTGAAATCCCCTTTCCTCACTGCTCCAATTGGAGTTTGTTATTCAACTTCAACTAGAACAGTTTCAACTAAGTCTGTTCCTTAACTTCAATTAGAACAGTTTTAATTTCCAAGTGTTGTAATAAATCATGCTTGTGCCTTCTAAATCCCCTTTGTCTCGCTGGTCTAGGTGGAGATTGTTCCTTAACTTCGAGTAGAAGAGTTTTAACTTCCAAGTCTTATCACAACCATGCTCGTGCCTTTTGCATCCCTGTCTCTTGCTGGTCTAAATGGAGTTTGTCCCCTAACTTCAGTTAGAACAGTTTTAACTTACAAATTCTGTTATAAACTGTGCTTGTGCCTTTTAAACCCCTTTCACTCGCTGGTCTACATGGAGTTTGCTCCTTAACTTCAATTAGAACAGTTTCAACTTCCAAGTGTTGTCATAAACCATGCTTGTGCCTTTTAAAATCCCCTTTTCTCACTTGTCTGAGTTTGTTCCCTAACTTCAGTTAGAACAGTTTTAACTTCCAAGTATGACCATAAACTATGCTTAATAGTTTAGAATAAAGAATTTATTGTATGTTTTCTCTGATTAGTAAACCCACAGATGATGTTCATAAAATACCCTGAACTATTTTATGTAGCCAAGTGACAGAGATATAGATACATAGATTGAAGGCTTACGCTGTTTAAATTGTACTGAATTCTATAGTTTATATGACTAGCTATTTTCTATTATCTCGGGAGAGTATTTGTATATAGATTCTTATGCCTTTTAGTGAAAAGTAATGTTAAATTAAGAATAAATATATTCCAGTATCATGCTACGGTGGAAATTATGTGTGACCTTTCTCTTTAGCCAGATTTAGAATATGAACTTGCCTCTTATGGGTTCATTTCAGCAACCTTGCATAGTATGTTGTTTTTGAGCCGGAACTGATTTCAAAGATCTTTTATTTCAAATCTCCTGCTATGAAAACAGTTGCTAATGAAGATAATTAAACATTACTTTTCACTAAAAGGCATAAGAATCTATATAGAAATACCCTCCTTAGATAACAGAAGTTACCTAGTCATATAAACCACAGGACTTATTACAATTTAAACAGTGTAAGACTTTAATCTACGTATTTACATGTCTGTCACTTGGCTACTGAAATAGTTCAGGGTATTTTATGAGCATCATCTGTGGGTTTACAAATCAGAGAAAACATACAAACTACCTAATAAATTCTTTTCTAAATTCTCTTCTTGGCTTTCAGGCATTTTTTAGTCCCCTGCAGTATCTCACAAAAGATGAAAAAACTTGGAGGCAAGTAGTATCATAGCAACAACCAGAGTGTAAGGCTTTTGTTATGCTTCAGGTACCCTTTGTTCTGAGGCTCCTGTTCTGTGTCTGTTTTCTCATGATGCATCCAAATTACACGTCAGCCTGGGGTTCAGATTCCTGGAATCTGAGGACTGAATCCCAGGAGAAACATGGGAGCATTTTGCACAGGACAAGAAAAAGCAAGTATCATGAAATTTGCTGTGTTAAAATGTAGCATTATTATGGTAAGCTAATTCCTTAGAAATTGAGGCTTCCCATTGGCTCTTGTGGGCAATGAAAGAACAAATGGCATTTCTTAAGACACCACGTTCATCAAAACACCAAGAAAAAATTGCCCTTTCCTGTCATGTAATGTGTCATGCAATTATAGCCATCACCCAGACAAGACAGATCTTTGTTGCTCGTGCAAAAAGCACAGTGCTGCAGAAACACATCAGGTTGTCTGAAGATGAAAAAGACTGCATAAGTGGAAATTATCACTCCACGACTAATTTTCATGCTCTTGAAAGCACTGAACACCAATCCAAATTTAAATAGAGGTGATTTACTCAGTAACCATTAATTTGACAATTAAGTAAGCCTGATGTGCCTCCTACACAGAGAAAGGAAGCTTATAATTTTGCTAAGCAAAACTTACAACAAATTCATGGCATGGAAGACAACATCACACCAGCATGCTAAAAGAAATGTGGCTATCTGATTTAAGCCAGCAGATAAAATGAAGAGGATTTTATTTATTTATTTTTATGATGTTCCTTTCACAGAGAAGCAACTGGATCAAATAGTCATTGCACAAAATAGGGATGCTGCTCCTTTCCTGAGGGAGCAGCTGCACCTGCTCAAGTGAAGTTTCCACAAACAGCAAGTGTGGCAGAAAAGGAGAGGGACTGCAGCAAGAAGTTGTGAGCCTGCAGATCAAGTGCAGGCAGAGAAACTGTGGAGACAACAGGCCTCTGAAAGAGAGAGGTTCCTGTAAATGTGTACCGCATACTCCAAAAATGCTACCATTTAAAGGTGCAGTTAATAAAACATTACTGGTTTAATCACTCACCACTGGAACCTTCCCCTCATCTCCAAGAAGACAAAGACAACCAGGGCTGAGCACTGAGAGAGGAAAAAGCCTTTTTGGCAAAAGACCGACAGGATGCTCGTGCAGTATCAGATGTGGTTGGAGGATAAGAATTCTCCATTTTAAGAGGCAAGGAAACGCACAGGGGTTGCAGAGCAGGCAGTTTTTGAGGTTCAAGAAAACGTTCTGTTATAGTGTACCTGTCATGATCCATCCTCATGTCCAAGGGCCCATCCTTCTGCAGGGAGAAGCCTCTTTCAGGTGTGTCTAACTGCATAGAAGAACAGCCAGCATCCAGGAGAACTCCGTCCAGAGTGCCTGGCTCAACCCCAGATGAGATTAACAAAGCCTCTGACTGGCTGAACCTTCCCAGGAGAGGCTGAAGCTGGTTCCTGTAAGAAAGGAACAAATGAATAGCCCCAAGTTCAGTTATAACCGTGCCATCTCTCCCCCTTGCACAGCAGGAATTAGATAATAGCACTCAACTTGTCTCAGAAGCAATAGGGCTATTCCCCAAGTAATAGTTTATATCTTTTCTTATGCCAACATTGAAAACTGGTCCAGAACACCCCTCAGTGGCTACTTCAACTTTAACTCTTTACTCTCTTCCTGCTTTATCTTAAAGAAATGGAAAACTGACTAACATTTAATTTTTTCAGTGAGCAGGAACTGAAGAGGACACCTTCAGCAGCAATGTCCTGGCTACTGAAGTACCTGCCCTGCCCAGCAGGGCCCTTAGTAAAGCAAGGCCAAGGTACAGAAAAGAAAGAAAAGATCTAGAGAAGCAGACAAAATGGAACAAGAGGGCACAACCCTGTGGGTAGTATTTACCCAGTAGGAAAACAATTCCAAGTTCCTGCCATGGGACCAAACACGTTCTAAGTGGCATTTGTCATTTAAAAGTAACCGGGAAAATGAGGTGCACTCAATCACAGGCAGGTTAAAACCTCAGTGCATTTTGGATTCAGGCACCTGATGACTGCAGAGAGTGGTTTAACATGCACTTTTGTGCTTACTGCTCTTTCTTGGATTCAAAGTGGTTGTTTTTTGATGTTCCCATGCTGACAAGGAAAAGAGGAATGGCAAGGGATGAGGGAACACACCTTGGGCACACACACACACACGTGTCCAACCACACAGAGCTCAGCAGTACTGGGACAATGCTCAGGATGGAATTCCTGGGCTCAGTGATCCTGGTGGGTCTGCTCCAGGATGTGATTTCATAATCTCTCAGGTTTCCATTGCTTTTTTGGGTATCTAACCCCGAACTTCTGGGTTTTGCCTATATATAAGGGGGCTTACAATTACACAATTTATTTTATCTGTCTCTCAAAATCTAAATGGATTTCACAGACTTAGAAAGATTAATCAACAAATTGCTGCATTTTTAGGCAGTACCTGAAAAGCAGAACACATTTCTGGAAGCCACTGCCTCCATATGGAGAGGAAAATCTGCATTAAAAGGAAGACACGAATCCAACCACATGGAAGAACACTCAGCTAACACAAGGCTCTCCTCATTAGAGCAGGACAAATCCACCCAGCAAACACAACACAGAACCTGGGAAACAGTGTGAATGGACAGTGTCCACCAGGGATAGCATGATGGAGGACACAATCTGGAATTGGTGTCTGTCCAGCCCATAACTGAACACAGTTACTCAGCATAATAAAAACTGACAGCTCCTGAAAGCACAAGGATCCACTTCAGGCACTTAAAACATTTTAAGCTGCCTAGTTAGATAGTTTTGAGATTGTATTTCCTCCCCAATATAATGAGGGGAATTTCCTTGAAAATGCATACTACTTTTTCCAACTGGGCAGTGTTTCTACCTTCCTGACATGTGCAAATGAATGAACTTTAAAATTCCATATGTGGGAAATGAAAATTAAATGAGACCTGGATAAAACTATAAATTGCCATTGTCCAGTTCCCCAGCAGCCAGTAATCCACGTCAGGGGTTCTGAAGTAGTGCTCTGCCAACCCATCTGAAAAATTACTCTAAACATTTTTTTTTTATTGCTATAAATTTTCTTACATTTCTTTAAACAAGTCATAAATATGTGGATAGCTAAGATGTTTGTGACAGCTTTTGATTTGTGATCTGCTAAACTTTTGTGATTAGAAAAGGTTAATTAAAAAAAAACAAGTAAATTTTGAGTAAGTAGAAATTTTCTCTTTGGTAGAGAGATGCTTCAGCTGAAAAAAAAGTCTGGAGCTTGCAAATAAAATAAAAAATAGATTGAGAAATTATTAGGTTGACATTTGATGTCAGTCTTTCAGCTGTGTGGAATTACAGCTTCTGTATATAAGGTGTTTGTTATGCACTGCCTTGTGTGTACCAATGATGGATACAGGAATCCTGGTGATTATAAATTATAATTAATTAGAATATAAAATATTTTAATATAAAATAATATAATACTAATAAATAATTTATAAATTCTCACTGAAACCAGCTGGTTTTTATGAGGTTATAATGAGTGTATTACAAGGTTCAGGCCAACTCTCTGGATTCCTGTTCCTCTGTGGAACAGAAGACAGAACAGTTTTAAGCATCTTGGCTCTCTCATACCCTTCCATTAATCAAACCAAGTGCACAGCAATGAAAGATTTATCATCTTATCAAGGGAAACACAAATATCAACTCTCTTTTTGGTGGGACAGCAACGATGATAGTGATGAAAAGGCCTAATCTACTAGATTATAAGCATGACACATTTATTTGAAATAAAATATTTTACCAAGAGTTCAGGACATTTGTTAGAAGATGCTCTCCCCTAGTCTACCATTCTTTATGCCTATATTCAAATAAAACCTGCCTGGTACACACAGAATTTCTCAAAATATTCTTAATTTCCTCTCAATTTCCTTTTGAATTCAGGTTTTTATTTACGTGATCTGTAAATCCACTTTGCAGAAAAATCTCAAATAAATAATAAGTAATAAAGGTTAAAAACCTTTATATCCCTACAGTCACGTGCCTTCTGCTCTACCTAGGTGTGCAGAATTCTTGCCACTTTCTTTTTCAGCCTTCCAATGTTTTCTTTGGTCAAGAGAAGATTTATCTTCTATGACATACTTACCTAGTGTGAAAATCTATTACCCTTTCTTGTCTTAATTTACTGCAAAACCAGTGCTCAGTGGAAAAAGCAGGCAAGGTAAACCAGGGAACATCTGTAAACACCAAGAAAAACAGCCAAGCCTATAGTTCTGAGAGGCCTGAGACGAGAGGGCACATCCAAACATCACAGAGCAAGACTGGATGGGGATTTTCACCACTGCTGACACCTTGGAAAGCTGCTGGGAATACAAAGGGGCCCTGTAATCATTTTAGGCAGTCTTAGAAGGTTAAAACCTGACTAAACCAAGTTGCCTTGCTTAAGAGAAAAGATTTAAACTTGGTACTTGAGCAGCATTTTATATATTCAGAATATTTTGGAAACATAAAAAAACTATGAAGAGCTTTTAGCTCCTCTCTTATAAATGGAGAAACAAGACTTGTAGAGCTTAATATTTAATGACTTGAAGATACCACGTAGAAAGCGAAGACAATTTCAGAAACCATGGTCTGAGGATGTAAGAAAGCAGAAAATACCTGTCACATTAGCTCTCCTTTGGGGGGGTGTGTATGGGGTAACAGCATGGCAATTTTTCAACAAATTCCCAACTGCTACAGACAAGCAATCTCTAACTTTTCAAAATATTCAACATGTTCACTCCCCCTTTAGTAATCTCGACATTCTACAAGAAAAATGTATGTAAGATTTCAAAAGAACACTGGGAATATGGACAACCTGGCCTGCTTTAAAAAGAATTAAAAGTTATTGACAGCAACTAAGGCTGTAGGGCCCCAGCAGATTTTGCTGTGCAACAACTTCAGAAGCTTGCAGAATTCTTGGGAAATAACACAGTTGGAAAATAATACAGATCCTTCAGGGTTCAGGTCCTTTGTTCAGGTCATAGCACAGTATTTTATTATATTGTGACACATAGCATAGTAATTCTGCTAGACAGGGCTTGATCCACACTTCTCAAGCACAGGAAAGAGCAGAATGAGAAAGAGTTCAACATCTTCTAAAGTATTTCAGGCTCTGCAGGTTTCAGTTAATCTCTGGTATTCTGCAATAAAAAATTTATAAAAATATTTATTTCTCATTTTACTCAGTTGAGAGGGATCCACACAGCAAAAAAAAAAAAAAAAAAAAAAAGTAAAGCATTAACACAGCTTTGACAAAATAAATGGAATCTTTTCTCTCATCTCATTTCTCTTGATTGCCATAGACATTGACATGACATCAATCATTCAAGGAATTTCACAGAGATGTACAATGATGCTTCGATGGTGCTTCAGCATTTTTTATGTATACATATTAACACTTGCTCCTGATGTTTCACTATTATTCCACTTAAAAATTCAGTGTATAAACACAGGCCCATCACTTGTGAGCAGTGAAAACTACATTTCACCCAACCAGAACAAATGGTTTCTCCAGGAGAAGAGAAAACCAAGTTTTCCAGCCAGCTCTTGGCACTGCTCACCAAACAGGGAGACCAGTGTGGTGCTTGGATGCAGTGCCTGCACTGGCATTGCCATCAGGGTGTGACGGTGCCCACAGGGGCTCTGGGATGAGGAAAGGGGTGGAGATCTGACTCCATGTTTCAGAAGACTTGATTTATTATTTTATGATATATATTACATTAAAACTATACTAAAAGAATAGAAGAAAAGGTTCTCATCAGAAGGCTGGCTAAGAATAGAAAGGAATGATAACAAAGGCTTGTGGCTCGGACAGAGAGCTCGAGCCAGCTGACTGTGATTGGCCATTAATTAGAAACAACTCTATGAGACCAATCACAGATCTCAGCTTCTCAGGAGGAAAAAATTCTAAGGAAAGGATTTTTCATAAAAAGATGTCTGCGACAATCAGGGGGTCCAGCAGCCCCAGTTGAGGTGAGGACGCTGGCACAGACCTGGTGCGACACTGCCTCCTCAGCTGGCTGAGGTCACCCACAGCTGTCACTCTGCTGTCGTTTTCACTCCTGGCTGCGCTGCCCCAGGCACACCCAGAGGCAAACTGTGAAGCATTCCAGCCACAAATCCCAGCGAGTTCCAGCGCTCCTGCCTGGGAAATGCGGTATGTTACTGCACCTCAGTGCAACATCCCTCTCAAAAAGTGTACCTGAAAATTGCAAAAATCTTTACATTGCCTTTACCAAATGGAAAATTGGCACGGTTTTCATGCTTGTCAAGTGTATTGGTTTGCATGGCCTGGTTTGGGCAGTGGGGGGCACAGAGGTGGCTCCTGTGAGGAGCTGCTGGAAGCCTCCCCTGTGCCCAGCAGAGCCAGTCCCTGCTGTGGGACAGATGCTGGGACAGGAACAGGTGCT